GCATAGAAACTTAACCAAAGAGAGAAGCAACCTAGAATTAAGGAGATATTTCCTATCGGTGAGGACAATTAACCAGTGGAACAGCTTGCCACCAGAAATCATGGACGACGTTCCATCACTGGAGGTTTTGAAGAAGAGACTGGACAGTCACCTGTCTGAAATGGTACAGGCTCCCCTGCTCGAGCAACAGGCTAGACTAGAAGACCTCCAAGGTCCCTTCCAGCTCTATTCTGATTCTGAATTGGGGAACAAACTGGGATTCTGCCCCTCCACCCGCACCCCTTTTGCCTATAAGCCACTCTGGGTAAGCTAGTATCTTTGCTGACATGCAGGTTTAGAGGTCAGCTTTCCAATCGGCCACAAATACGCATGCCACAGCTTAGCACAACAGGTGAAACTGGCTAACATTCATGGTTAGGTGAGGTTTTAGAGTCCTGTTTGAGTCCGGGTGGTTCTCGACTTGCTAGCGTTCAAAGTTACAAAAAAAAAAAGTGACTTACAGCCGTTTTTCACACACTTACAAGCGTTGCAAGCATCCCCCTGGTCAAAATTCAGATGCTTGGCCACTGACTCATATTTCTGACGGCTGCAGTGATCCCCCTTTGCAACCTTCTGACCAGTCAGCGGAAAAGCCAGATTTGCTTAATAATCGTGTTTACTAACTTCAAAACCTGCAGTGATTCATTCTGCAACTGTGGCAAGAACGGTCGTAAAAATGGGGCAAAGCTCGTGTGATGACCTGGGGCATAACACAAAAATAACAAAGTCACAAAAGTAGAATAAATTCCCTTTAATGCCTCCAACTTGTCCCCCAATGTCCTGTTATCATCGGCTGGAGATCAAACTCTTCCAAAAACAGTCTGCGAAGGAAAGAAATGCAGTCCGAACCCAAAGTAAAGATAATTAGAAATTTAAAAAACCAGCACAAACCACACTGAAGCATTTAACACGGCAGGCCAGGATGATAAATTACAGACTTCCAAAGGATAACGCACCACCCATGGTTGGGACTCGACAAAAATAATGCACGCTTTGCTTCCAGCAAGGAGCTCTGTGCAAATGCCCCACTTATATCCTGTTCTCCCAGCTGCAACTAATGAAAGGGATCAGGGCCTTCTTCTCTCCCATAAGCCATGTTGGTCCCTTCTCCGTTCTTCCCTGCCTGCCCTAGGATGAAGAAGGGATGGCCCCGGGTCTTCTTCTGAATGCCCAGCCGGACTGTGCCCTTCTCCCATTTCTCCCACAGCCACCGGAGCCCCACTCCCACTCCCCGTCAGCTGCTCCTGCTCCCCCTCAGAATCAGACTCCAACAAGGGCATGACAGCTCACTTAACGAAAGTCTCACTCAGCAACGGAAATGTTGGGCTCCGTTGTGGTCGTACTTTGAAGACTACCTGTGTAGGTGAACCCCAGAGCAATTGCTAGTTTACCGCTCGGGATCCTTGTGTGACCAGCTGTTCAGAAGGTGTCCCCGAATTAATCCCGGAAATAAATCACCACAAAGACAGTGGACTTCAGAGGCCCCAACAAGCCAAAATTAATTGGCTCTCTCCTCCCCGGAGCTCATCCAAGGAGTTGAACATTAAAGGAGGATTGTTCGTTTGACATTTATATGGGCTTTGCAAATTCAGAAAGTTTCCCATGGATTATTTTGGCCCAACCCCAGCAAAGGCCCCCAGATCCAGCCCAGACAAAGCATCTGGGACAAGAATATTGAGCCCAACTCCAGCCTGTTCTCCAAATTCCTCTTCGATGGTTCGAGGACCGCTCTTTTTTAAAAAAAAAACACAAGGCGTTTCCCATACAGATGGCGGCTCTTTCCAAGGTCTTCCCGATTTGCAATTTGCAGCTGGAAAACAGCCTTGGAATGGACAAGCTGCTGATTTTATTATGTGTTTTTTTGGCAGGAACCTGCTCACAAAAAAAACCTCCCTCCAAAAATAAAGAATAAAGAATGGACGCCGCCTTTAAATATTAGGCAGTCTGTCTCGTCTGAATTTTCAGAAATCTGCTGTTGAATAGAAACGTACCTTCACTTGAGACCTTCAAGAAGAGATTGGACTCCTATCTGTCAGAAATGGTGTAGGGTCTCCTGCTTGGGCAGGGGGTTGGACTAGATGACCTACCAGGTCCCTCCCAACTCTGTTAATCTGTTAGCCTTAAAATTTGTCCTTTCCTTCATCAATCCAGGGTGGGTGGGTGGGGAATAACAGGACAGTGCCTCATGCTGGAACAATCAAGGGACTCCCTTCGGGCATTTATAAACAAGCCAAGTTTCTAGCCCTCGTGATTGCAAGGAGGTTTGGAAAACATACTGGGAATTTGCCTTGTGTAAATTCTTCCAAAAATTTACTTGGATATGACCCACCGGTCTTCTTCTTCTTCCCAAGCTTCTACGTCGGGACTCTTTTTACAGACTGTGATTTTATGAGCCTTTCATGCCATTGGACAAAGAGCAAATCTTTCACACACACCCTCCCTCCTTGGAGGCCTCCGGATTTGTGAGGAGCGGCGTGGGGTACATTTAGAACGAGACCCTGAGGCCACACCATCTTTCATTCCAAGTGTTTGCAACGGGCGTTTGGGCCCAGATCAGACAACTCTAGCACAGGGGAGGCTTCAAACAGCTACAGGCAGCAGGGGGCGTGCTGTTTAATCCTCACCCTTCGTCCTTGGGAACCTTTTTCTCTGAGCCCTGAGTGACATACAAACCTGTGAACATGGGGTAATCTTTTTGTCACCATAGCCCAGCATTTGGGAGGTCAGTCGTAGTAAATATAAATTATTGATGGCTTTATAAAAATCAGGCTTACATGTGCCAAGAATGAATGTGTGTATGTGTGCATGTGTGTGTGTGTAGATAGATAGATAGATAGATAGATAGATAGATAGATAGATAGATAGATAGATAGATAGATAGATAGATATAGATATAGATATAGATATAGATATAGATATAGATATATAGATAAGAATCTTACACGGGAAAAGACCCGATCACGCCAATACCTCCTTGCTACTTCTATTACGGGCCTTAAATTGAAGTGCTGAACTTTTCTCTGACTTTTCTTCCAGATGTTGGCCAGCTGGACTCTCCACCTTGATCCTCTAGAACAGGGGTCTCCAAACTTGACAGCTTTAAAACTTGTGGACTTCAACTCCCAGAATTCCTCTTCCAGTTATGTTAGCTCAGGAATTCTGGGAGTTGAAGTCCTCCAGTCTTAAACTTGCCAAGTTTGAAGACCCTTGCTCTCGAAGAGCCAAAATCAGTCGCATCAAGCCCAGAGAATGGAACAAAGCATCCTTGCTTGCACAGGAGAAGGTATCTTTGCAATCAAAAGGGATGGAAATTTGTTTATTTTTTTAAGCCAAAGCTCGAAATTTTCACAGAGGCAGACGTCTGTGGTAGGGATCATATTGGGTGGTCTTTTTAGAAGCACTCATGCCTGACAGTTGCCAAGCCTTGAGGCTTGCTGTTTATTTGTTTCGTTTCTGTTTCATTTTTCTGTCTGGGAGCAGAGTTGCCAAAAAGAATTGCCGGCCCATGTAGGAATTTATTCTTGGCCTGTTCACAGAATGGAGAGTTGGAAGGGGGGGGGGGGAACGGAACAAACCCTGAACTAACCATGGTTAACGTTATATATATATATATAGTCATTATCCACACATACATTCCCTCTGGCGTCACTCAAAAAGGGCCTTTTCCCCCCTCATAAGTAATAGAGAAAACACACATTTTTGTTATAGATTCAACTTTGAGAGTGGTTTATGAAGGTCGGGGATTCAGTTACTCCTCCAAATTCTTTAGTGAAACCTCCATTACCAAAGAGAGCCTATCTCAAGAGTCTTGAAACTTGGCAAGTTTAAGACTTGTGGGACTTCAACTCCCAGAATTCCTGAGCTAACATGGACTGGAGGAAGAATTCTGGGAGTTGAAGTCCCACAAGTCTGAAAGCTGTCAAGTTTGAAGCCCCCTGCCTTAGAAAGAGTGCAGAGAAGAGCAACAAAGAGGATTAGAGGTCTGGAAGCTAAATAAAAATTCTGTTCTATATCTAAAGGGGTGCCCCAAAGAAGTGGGGCATCAAATTATTCTCTAAAGGCCCTGAAGAGAAGCAACCTAGAACTAAGGAAGGGTGTCTTAGAACGGGGGTCCCCCCAAAGTCGACAGCTTTAAAACTGGTGGACTTCAACTCCCAGAATCCCACCTCCAGCCATGTTAGCACGGGAATTCTGGGAGATGAAGTCCCTCCCACAAGTCTTAAACTTGCCAAGTTTGGAGGCCTCTGATCTATCTGAATAACCATCAGAGGGGTAAAATCATGAGGGTCGTTTGTCTCAATTCAACCACAAAAAAAAAACAAGGTTGTTTCTGGGCTTTGGAATATTTCCCAGCGAGAGAAAGAATTCTGCACATGGTCAGAGGTGTTTGAATCTAGGACACACACACACACACTTTGCATGGATCTTGGTGAGATTTGTTTTTTTTTTTGTTTGTTTTTTTTTTTGCTTTGGCACAAAAGAAATTGGGCGTTTTTCGGCGAGGTTGAGAATTTTCCCCGAGTCCCTTCGGCCAAAGCTCCGGCTCCCTCCCGCTCCTGTGACCGCAGTTCCATTTAGAAGGCGAAGGTTGCAATCAAGGCGCGACGTCTCCCCCCTTTAGGCCCCCTTGCAATCGCCCTATCTTTTCCAATAGGACCGAATTTAGGCGTCTGACTGACTGCCTGTCAGGGCAGGGAAATATCCAATTATCGCACCCGGGGAGGAGGGGAAAATTCAACGCGCGAGAGAAATAATCATGTTTGAAAACGATCCAGCTAACCCAGGGATCTTCCAACTTGACAGCTTTAAGGCTTGTGGGAAATTCCAACTCCCAGAATCCCTCCTCCAGTCCATGTTAGCTCAGGAATTATGGGAGTTGAAGTCCACAAGTCTTAAACTTGCCAAGTTTGAAGACCCGTGAGCTAATAATGTATTCGAGCTTGGCAGGCAATCGGATAGACACCTCCCTGCAAGGGGCCTTTATCTCCTGGAGCCTAGAGCGTCGAAAAAAGTCCTATTAGGAGGAAAGGCGGGAGCGGAGAATTTGCCTGGTTTCATTAATAATTCACTTTTAAAGCCAAAAAAAAAGCATTTTTAGAGGCGAGCCTCTAAATTTGCGAAGCAAGACTTCTTTTGCTTGGGTCAGAGCCACTTCTGCCACCCCTGGGCATGAGTTTTTTGCAAGTGCGACTATCAAGTCGAAATTGCAATTTTACTTTTTGAGGGAGTGCAAAGCTGCAATGAACTCGGCCAAAACTCGCTACTTAATATTCTTCCAATACTTCGGGGCCAAATATAGGTAAGGTGAACAACGTGCATACAAATTGCAGCCTTTTAAAAAAAAGGGGGGCAGGTAAATTAAAAAAAAACTTCAGGGGAAGAGGGGGGAAAACCCCACAAGGGAGGGAAACCATGTTTGACGTCCTTGGGTCATTGAAGAGAGATTAGACCCAGAAGGACAGAGGCAAGAAATGGAAGTTTTTCATTGCAAATGCATTAAGTGCCCTTAATGGTGTGTGTTAGCCAGAGAGAAACCACCAGGCCCACGCTGGGCTCCTCTCCAAGTGTGCTTCTCTTCTTCAATTCTATTCTGCTATTTGTTTTTTGTTGTTGTAAATGAATTTTTGCTTAAATTGAAGGAATGGTATGTAATTTCCCCCCCCTCTACTTTTGCATTCCGAGTAAAAGTTACAACCTTGGGTCGATTTGACATTCTTGATTCAGCCCATTGTGGAAGACAAATGGCTGAAAGGTGCTTGAATTTGGAAAGAAAATATGAAACAAGTTCACCCTTTCTAGTGGATGCCCCAACAAGCAGGGGGAGCAACTATTTGGGATGTCAAAAATGTTTATTACGGTGCAAATCATTTCAAACGCATGCATGCATTTTAAATGATAGTTGAAATGTGCGTTCAACAAAGGCTTCTGTTTTTGCAGAGATTCTGTTATTTATTCTAGTAAAATTGTGATTTGTTTCAGCAAACTGCTCCTTAGTATGATGTGCAAGGGAGATCAAGAGGGCCCATTCCCCTCAGATACAGAGTGAAGCGGTGATACCGATTAAGGAAGCAAATCAAATCCAATTGGAAGGGTTAGATCACTTTGTCCCTTCCATAGCACACTGCGCTAGAGTTGGCTTTCAAGGGCCATCGGTGGAAAAATTGGCTTTAATCCTGCACTTTTCTCATTCTTTGCTTCAACAAAGAGGCCTTGGTTTGTGGCAAGTGTGCCATGTAAACATTTCTTTCAAAAGTTTACGTTCCTTTGGGTTTGCTTCAGGGCTGAATACGTTCCTACAAGAGTCTTGCGGGGGGGGGGGGGGGGGTTTGACTCTCCCGTTTTTCAGCTTAGAAATTCAACTACAAAGACAAATTCACCATCAAAATCACACCGTCTGCCATGAGGGGACATTTTGCCTGCTAAGAAACTTATTTCTTATTATTGTACGCTATGCCTATTATTATTAAGTGTCGTACCTTATGATTCTCGGACTCCTGACAAATGTATCTTTTCTTTTATGTATACTGAGAGTATTTAACACCAAGACAAATTCCTTGTGTGTCCAATCACACTTGGCCAATAAAGAATTCTATTCTATTCTATTCTATTCTATTCTATTCTATTCTATTCTATTCT